TATGGCGACGGCGGCGGACGTGAACAAGGGCAACCCGGCGCTCCTGCAGAACGTCATCAACCACCAGCTTGGGCCCATGCCGCGCCTCCTGAACGGCCTCGTCTCGGGCTGCACGGTGGTTGTGCCCGCGCCCTCGGTGGCCGCCGTTCCTCCGGCCGGTGGCGGCAGCCGCGGGAGCGGGACCGCACAGGACGGCACGGCGGCGGCGGCCGCAGCGGCGGGGGCGGCCCCGCCTGCATTCAGCAACAAGCGCACGAAGGACGAGTGCGGCGACGGCGACGACGGCAGGCCGGAAAAGAAGATGGCTCTCGGTGGTGGCGGCGGCGGGGACAGGAGTGGATCTTCATCTCCAACGATGTCGCCCTCGATGGCCGCCGCGGCTGCCGCGGCCGCGGCTGCCGCCACGTCTGGATCGAACGACGCGATGCTGGGTTCGGAAAATGGGGGGGGGGCGTCCTCGTCGCCGGCCACGGCGGCGCCCCCGGCATCATCGAACCTGCTGGCGCGACCGGCCTCGGCGGATTTTCGCCACGGGGGGGGCGAGGAGCTGATGGCCCGGTTAAAGGCGAAGGTAGGGCGGCTTTTCTCCCTTAGTGCCGAGTACACCCACGTCAGAACGGGGGTCGTGCCGGAGAACGGCTCCCCAGCCGCCCTTGGTGGAGGTGAAGTGGGGAAGAAGCAGGAAGCTGGCCTAACGAACGGCGGCGCCGCTGCGTCGGTCGCGGCGACGACAACAACGGTCGGAACGACGACGGCAGGAGACGTCAAGTCCGACGTTGGCGGCGGTGGCCTCCGGAGGGTGCTCGCCCGCGTGAAGGCCGTGCGAGCGGGGCACTTCGTGGTGCACATCAAGTTCGATGTCGCCGGCAGCAACGAGTGCCGCCCGTGCGACGTGTCGGTGCTCTCCTGGAACGAGGCACAGGAAGGCGAGAGCGCCTCCACCGGCGGTGCAGATGCCCGTGTCAAGGTTGAAGGCGGTGGGCAATCAGGCGGTGGTTTCATGGATACCGTGCATGGTTCCAAGCCGTGGCGGACATCGCAGCACACCGCCTTCGTCCGCGTTTCGGGACACGCCTTCCAGGTCGGTCGCGTTTGTATTGTTGGTTTGTTTTGTATGCATGCGTGATGTGTCCCCTTTTCATGCCTGCCTCCCTCCCTCCCTCCCTCCCTCCCTCCCTCCCTTGCCCTGGTACCTCCTCCCCACTGACGCCTCAAAACATGACACACCCCCGCCCTGTTAATGATGCATCCACCCCAGGCGCTGCACGGTTACGTCAACAAGCGGACAGACGGGAACGTCGGGGAAGCCCTGGTGTCGTTCTTGACCTGGATGGCAAACTACGACCGCGTCTTCCAGGACCCTTGCACGATCGCCAACAAGCTCGTTGCCACCGACTCCGGCACGGGAGAACCCCTCCCCCCGACCCTCAGAACGCCTGACGGCTCGGCGCTCTTGGCTGAGAGCTTGGCGGGAACGCCGCAGCGGGAGCCGCAGAGCCCGGCTTCTTCTCAGGCTGCGTCCGCCGCCGCCGCCGCCGGCACGGGCGTTGCAACGGCCGAAGCATGATCTCCATGAGGGAGCTGAGCTATGGCTAGCTCTCGCTCGAATGGACGGCGTGGATGCTGCCTCAACCATCGCGATTGTTTTTTTTAGACGCGTTCATGGGTTGGCGTGCGTTGGTTCACGTGCTCTTGTAACTGCTGTGCAGCCAGGCGTTCCTTTTAAGGACGTGCAGGGTTGTGGTGGTGGTCTTACCCCCCCACCCCTCCCAACCTACCCTCACCCCACCCCTCCTAACCTACCCTCCATTTCTCAATTTCGCCGCCGGGTGGTCCCACAGGCTAGTTAAATAGTGTGTTTGGTCACCTCCCGGGAGTGCGTGCTGTCGTTGTCAATTGTTGGTTTTTGGTTTGGTTTGGGCTGGGTTGGTTTGGTTCCTGTAGCTGTTTCCAGGGAGGTCGGAGAACGCAGGGGAATAGAGGGTGGTGTGTGTTCTGTGTGTGTGCGTGTGTGTGTGTGGTTATAAGGTTCAAATTGGGTACCCGGGGCGCACCGAGGTGTGTTGTTTTCGGGAGTCTGTTTTAGTGGCTGCGGGGTTGGTTGCCAACATTCCGAAGTTTTAAACGTACATGATCGTGTGCAAGCACTCTCATGCTCTTTCCCGCTCTAGCGTTTGCATCGCTGGTCGTGGTGGCGGTATCACGCTCGACGTTCACAGCCAAGAGCTTGGCAAAGTGTGCAGAGTGTGTAATCCCGTCCCCGCCCCCCCCCTCCTCCTCCTCCTCCCCTCCCCCCCTCCCGGGCGCGCGTCTCGTTCCCATCTTTGGTGACATGCGTGTTGGTGATGTGGTTCCTATAGCGTAGCGCGTGTTTCGCAGAACGCGGGGGGAGGGGGGGGGGCTGTTGTTTTCCTGCCTTGTGTAACCCCCTCCCCCGCCTCTTTTCCCATGTTCACCCTTGGATCTCCCGGCCACTCGCGAGAAAGCGCAGGGCCGCAGAAGAGAACGTACTGCTGTACGTCAACCGCTGTACCATACTTTTTGTAAGGCAGGCGTTTGTAGACCGCGCGCGGGTTGCCCAGAGACAGGCAGGCGCTCCCTGCGGTTGCTTTATCTTATTTTTTATTTTTATTCCGACGCCCGATCGCGTCTTTTTTGTGCTCGTGGCGTCGTCGTGTACGCCATGACATTGCGGAGTTTTTCCCGGCCTCTCGCCGGGGTGCAAAAAATGTGTGTAGGATGGATGGAGGAAAAGCAATGGTCTTCTTTGTTTTTTTTGTTTTTTTTTGTCTTTTTGTTTGTAGGACGGTGGTACGTGAGACTTTTGTCCGTTGGCCGTTGCGACGGAGCTTGGTATTAAGGAGCTCTAGGTTGGTATCCGCAGTGTGTGCTGCCGCTGTTGCTGCTGTTGGCCAGAGAAAAGCTCTCGAGCTTTTTTGCGAGATTTACTTTGTTGTTTTGAGTGAACGCTCGGGTGTCGTTTTTGGGAACAAGAGTGTGTGCGTGCCAAGCTAAGCCAAGCCACAAGCCGGGGCGGTAAGCCAAGATGCGTGGCCAGGCCAAGGGATGACGCGAAAAAAGTGCAGCGTTGGTAGCGTGACTGCTATGGTTGGGTGAAGTCCTATTCTCGGGTAAACCTCACAGCCACCGCATGGGTCGAGGTTGGGTGGGACCTACGTGGCTGTCGCAGAAGGATCTCACTAATTTTCGACCTCTGTACTCAAGTGTTGGGGGAAGGGGGGAGGGAGGGGGGGGGGGGGGTCCATCGATTGATGACAAACGGTATTCCCGTTTTCTATGGGGGGCAGGATTAAAAGGAAAAAGGGGGGGGGGGGGGCCAAAAGTCCCACCCCGGTTGAAGGGCCAAAAAACCTTGGA